CTTGAAGGTACCACTCAAGCCAGTATAGAGCGAAAGAAAGGCAAAGGCTAGGAAGTCTGCGGGGACTAACAGTCCAACCCGCCACACGCATTCGATATGATCGTGCTTTGAATCGTTTCCTCGCCTTCCTCAAAGAGGAAGGGCTGGAATTGCCCAGTCGTCGCAGTTTGTTAGGTCCATTAGTCATGGAATACATAGAACACCTCTGGCGCACCGGGGAGGGGTGTGGTCTGGCCGCCGATACCCTGGCGTCGTTACAGGATTTCGACGCTAAAATACGGGGGCAACTCCCTGGTGCCTGGCGCCTTGTGAAAACATGGGTCACCCATGAATTGCCCAATTGGGCACCACCCATGCCTGAGAGCATCCTCCATGCCATGGTGGGCTGGGGTTTGTACCACCAGCATTTCTCTTTTGCAACCAGCCTTCTTCTTTGTTTTTACGGCATCTTACGCACTGGAGAGTTGCTAGAGGTTACTAAACGGCGGATTGACATTTCGAACAGCTTGCGAGTAGCCGTTGTCAGTCTCGGCATGACCAAAGCTGGAAAGAGAGCCGGTGTCCAAGAGAGCGTCACCGTCGGACATGACACTGCCTTTCGATACTTGCAGCAATGGAGCTTTTTGGCAAACACTCACCAACGTCTCTGTCCGCCAGCAGCTCGCTGGCGCAAACTGTTTAAAACATGTCTTGAGGCTTTGCACCTGGAACCCTTAGACCTCCGACCCTACTCCCTCCGCAGGGGAGGGGCCACATGGTGGTTCTGCCAGCATGGGAACCTAGATCGGGTAATGCTTCTAGGTCGGTGGCAGGCCCAAAAAACGGCCCGTTTATACCTAAATGAGTCCAGAGCAGTCCTGACTGAGATGCAGCTAGGTCCTTTTGAGCAGTTTTTGGCACCATACCGCAAATTTTTTCGAAATTCCACCCCCAAGTCCTTTGAAACACTTGAGCCGCTGCAAAGCAGCAAGCCGCCCGCCGTAACTCGGCGGCTCGGGGGACGTGGAAAGAAGGGAAGGAAATCCCTCAAACGACCTTCTAGAAGCTCGAGATGAGCGAAAAAAGGGTCGCACTTTAAGCTCCCCAGGACCTGGCCAGGGTCTGGGGTTTGGTCCGCCTGGTTCGGGGGGACAGGGTTTCCCCTTCTTTGAGTAGTGGACCGAAGAAGGGGGGGGGGTACCCAACCTGGTTTTTCTTTTTTCGTGTATCTTTCCTTTTTACTATCATTTGGACAAATCTGCTGCAGAGCGAACTAGAAAAGGATGCTGACGAGTCTTTATATAAAAAGGTCGGGTTCTCATTTTATAAAGCAGCAGCCTGAGGGATTCCATTTTATAAATGATCTTTCTCTATAAAATCAAATCCCTCACCCCAGAGACCTCCACAAGGGGGATACTAGTAGCGCCCTTGGTCCTAGTAGCTTCTAGCTACTAGTAGCAATGGCCGGCCTCCAACCTACTAGCGATGGCCTCCAATCCATTTTCGCTTTCCGGAAACAATATTTATCCGCAGACAGACAGACATAGAGCCATTGCTCAACCAGCCAATTCGTTTGACAAACTGCCAAACCGATCCACAGGGTCCGTCCTTGGCGGTCCTGAGGCCCACTTCGCTTTGGCAGCCAACGGGGGGACGAGAGCACTCAGTGAGAGTGCTGAACCTTTCCCTGATGAGCTGATGAGGCGGATTTTGTTTCATGTGCAGGTAGAAGCTCCATTTGTCGACGTCAGCACTGCCATTCCCTGGCAGTGTGGTTTGGGACGGACTCGAGTCGTTTTTTTGTGAACACATTCGCGTTTGCCGAATCAAGCTGACATGATTCCAGCAATGTCAAGGTGTGCTGGATTTGAACCGCGACCATGCTGACGAGAAGAACACATACCAATGATAGGTGTTGTTTGTGTGGGTTGGCTCAAGTGCCAATTGGATAGATCCGCAATGACGTTCAAGTGCCTACATCTCCACGGGTGGGTCATGGGTAGTTTCTGCGGAATCAACTGGATTTCATCACAAGAGCATGATTGGTTGCTGTCAGGAATGCCTTTGTGGACTTTGTCGATATCATGACTGCGCTGTCAGAGGAGGTGCTCTGTCCGATGTGGCACGGGTTCAGAGGTCTATCCTTAGAGGACGGCGTCTCCAGCCTCAAGTCGATATATATATATATATATGTCAAGTATGTTTGTATATAGTTATAGTTACATATATATATATTTATTTAACTATATTAGTGTGTGTATATGTATATGTGTATATGGGCGTTGATCTAAATCTCCGTGTAAGGAGGTTTATATAAACAGCCTTGCAGAAGCTTTCGGATTTTGCTTAAAACAGCCTTTCATATGTATATGGTAGTATATGGGAGTTGATCAACCACCGCATATGCTGTTATATATATATATACATACCTATTTGTGTATATGATATGTGATCCACTTCAAGACGCTGATTGTGGGGACGGTTTGCAGAGCATATGCAAGGGTCCAACTGGTGGAGTTTACTGTAGCCACCATTGATAATGAGGTTAACTGTGCTTGTTGACCCAATTGTATACACTCTGCTCATGCTTTGGAACCGATCCCATTTGACAAGTAATTGGGGACTTGGGAAGTGGGGAGAGCTTGCAAAAGTGATGCAGAATCCTGGGCATCTCACCCAAAGACATCGTTCCTTTCCTGGACATGCTTCCAGGTGTGGCCGGATCCGCACACTTCGGCGGAGTTGATGCCGCTCTTTTCCATGTGCAAAGAACAGAGATGAACAGAATAGACATGGTGGGACTCAGTGTGGGCCCTGCGGTGTGGAGAGCTTTGAAGAAGCTTTTGGAGTTTGTTTGTTGTGCGAACTTTAAAGCGACTCTTTTGTTCCCTGCAAACTCCAGGATGCCTAGACCATGTTTGCCGTAGAAAAAGTAAGAACTGAAGTTGTTGCACGAAGGATCCTATATAAGAAGATACTGTAGTGTAGGAGTCTAAGGAGGCGAGATGAGATGACCAAAGGGACGGTTTTGTATCTCTCCAATTGAGCTGAGCTTTTTTGTACATGAAAGGAATTATTATATGGAGGTTGTCCTGTGGTTTGTTCGCGTAAGCAAATTCGCTTGGGGGCGTAGGCTCGCGTAGGCATTGTTGGGGAATGTCTTCGCGTAGGTTCCTTGCGTCGGTACCCCTTTTCATACAGTTTGATTGCTTGAATGTGTTGCGTCTCATGGTTTCGGTGTTTTGCTAGGCATTTTGCTAGGCAGAGGCTCAGTTCAGAGGGACAATGGCCAGCAAGGAACAAGATCCCGACACTGCACACATGCAAACAAACCATGCAGATAGTGCGCGAAAATTGCTGTGGCAAAGCCATTCTTGCCAATAGCGACGATGGTGGAAATACGATGAAATACGTGTTTTCTCGCGTAAGCTTCGCGTACACACCGCGTAGGCAGACCTCCCATTTGTGCACTATACCCCACGACTCCGCACAACTGTCTTTCGGCTGATAAGTCTTGCCTTGCAGCTTGCTGGCAAAAACATGAAGTGAACACGCGTCTTCTTACAGTTGGCAGTAGTAGTGGTAGTCGTCGTGGTCGTAGTCGTAGTGGCAGTAGCCGAGTTCACCAGGCAGCGGCTAGACCACAAGCACAGAAGAGTGAAACCCAAGGGCAGCGTAGGCAAAAACACACTAGCAACAAAAAAGCTGCATCGCGTATGCTTCGCGTAGACATGCTTCAACTACCGCTGTCTCGCGTAGGCGTGGCGTAAGCATGCGTAGGCTCTTAGCGTAGGCGCCGACAAATTACAACACTCCACATAACAAAAAACGCTGCTCAATTGGGACACACTTATATAAGGACATCATTCCCACATGCTAACCAGCATGTTCGACGAAAGAATTGAATCATGTCATAATATGTTCATGATATACAAGTTTGACTTTGGGTTGGTTTTGACTTGGAGACCCTGAATACTTCAGGGACCATCGTTGGACAGTTTCCTGCTAAGGCAACAGGGTCAGATCCAACACCGCGCCTCAAAGACAGGCGGAGTTTCAGAGATTCGACCGAAGGAAGGGTAGAAGAGCCGGCCGGAGTGAAGTAAGTTGTGTGTGAAGCGGCTATCCCATCCAAAAGCTCTAAGATTCTAGGTTGGAGGCCATCGCTAGTAGGGTGGAGGCCATCGCTACTAATTAGTTCTAATTAAATAAATGCAGGCGGGCTGAAACTCGTGCTGCCAATCCGCACCCCGAGCGATTGACTTCGACCAACAGGGTGCCATGTGCTTTTCTACCTGCGAGTTTGGGTGCCCCAGATGCCAGGGTGCAGCAATTGTGGCTTTCATGTTGAGATTCGGCGGGGTCTCGTTTCTGCAGGCGCCCTAATCCTCTAAATTTGCATGAGCTTGTAGTTAACTGTTAATTGTTTTATATTATGTATTAGGCTAACTATAACAGCTATACTATACACTTATATCATCTTATAAGTCCGCTAACAGTGATCGAAGTTATCCTACTTAGAACTGCAGTTGGCCTCAAGTCAACCTAACTGTATTTACAAGTAAGGAACCTTCTCGTGGTCAAAGTGAACGTCATTATATAACCCCCCCCACCCCACCCCTGTGTGCGGAAATGAGTTTGATGATGGACGTGTGGTTTGAAAGGCAATTAAGAGGCATGTGTGCGAATATGAGTGAAATGCCTACAAGGGCCTACAGGGTCGTGCGTGTAGGAGTATGAGCTAGATTTGTGTGCGAATAATATGAGCCGTTGAGATTCATATGTTGTTCGTGGTTTGGAGAGGGTAGGGGACACAGTAAACACCCTAGTTGATCAAGACAAGCGCAAAACAAAAACCGCAGCCTGGGATCAAACGCAGAAGATCGTGGACTCTCTCTTGAGTTACCACAGTATTGTAAAGGTGAGATGTGCAACATAGGCGGAGCATACCCGCAAAGGATACACCGAAGAATGCGCTTTAGTCTTCACTGCACGAAGCATCCCTCATGCCCTTGAATATACCCCGAAGTATGCCCTCGATGCAAGTGTAACATGTCAGTGTAAATATGATGGAAGACTGGATGCTGATTCTGGGGATGAGCGGAGGAATTTTGGCAGTTGCTTGGCTTGAGCCTGTACAGTATTTCTCTCCAGCAAGCTGAGCCATACAAACAGCCTGTGCATTTCCCTGAGATATTCAGGAGATCTTTGAGCCTTGGATGTTGGCGTTTCAGTTCTCCTTAGATATTCTGCCATGCAAGGCGTGCCTCATCTTTGTGCTGCTGATTTTTGTCACCTCAATCTATGACGAGGAGCGGCTGGCATACCTCCGAAGCACACAACCCCTCTTCCTGGATCGCCAGGCAAGTGGTCGAACATTTGGTCCTTGAGTTGCAGTTGCACAGGTCCCTAGGACTTGCTGCACTCATTTGATCGTCCGGTCAATGCGCCTCAAAGCATTAAAGGTCTGACCAATCACACCTGACAAGATGTGTTAAGGCAAGTGGACCATTTCACCGTTAGATCCGGGGCTCCCACTGGCATTCTGCGGAACTAACTGATCTATCGACTAGACTCAAGTGGGAACCCAGCCAATGGTGGAACCAATTTGGGAGTTGATGTTTAATCAAGCCCCTCCCGAACCATGAAGGCCTTTGATTCCTTTGATGATGCCGTGCCTGTGTCGCCAGCAGCAAGACTGGAGACTTGCACCATTTGCTTGGATGAGATTCAACAAGGCGCTGTGTCCAACAATGTTGAACATGATCCCCGCCTTAGAATGGTGAAGCCTCACGGTGAAACCTTTCACATTCATTCAACTGCTGTCTCTCCTCTATCAGGATGTGGATTTTTGTGAGAACCCACAAACCCACAGACGGACTACAAACTCACAACAAGGCAAATGGAGAGCAATCTATCAGCTCGTTTGTTCAATGGAAAACAACACCTTCAGGGGCGCTGAAAAGAGTCGGCAAAGTATTCCCACAGAATGTGAACATCGAGCCTGAGGGACCAAACATGACCAAAACCCTTGAGCCGGAACTTGCTCCCCTGCAGATTAACATGGAACCCCAAAACCACTGAGTTGGTATTCGAAAAGGTTTTTTCTTCCACTCTTCCACCGGTCAATTCTCAGGTTTCATGTTAGTTTGCGGGGGGGTTTGGCTCGGTATGTTATTTTGAACCTCCATCCCATTCTGGCATCACTGGCCCGTGGTGTTGGCCCGTGTTATTTCGTACATTGTATGCCAACAAGGTTGTTTGTGCTAAAATGGGATTGTAACCGTCGTCCTTCCTTATTGTACATTGTACTATGTACCCTGTTGTTTCATACATGTGGTAATATTTTTACATTTGGTTGTTTGTCCTTTCTTATTTGTTCAGATTTTGGTTAACTGCCTCCAGACTCCTGCAGATACTACAGAAACGTCATGACGAGTCGTCATGATGCCGCTCCAGCAGATCCCCGCAGTCCCATGGGACTCTAAGTCGATTTTCACTTCGTAGCCTGCCAGGCCAGCCTTGTCGTGAGCTGGGGTGCAAGCATGCATTCCATGCAGACTGCTTGCATGCTTGGTGGGAGCGCTGTGCCAGATCCAAGTCGAGCTGCTCTTCCCACATCAATCAAGTGATTTGCCCAAGCTGCCGACAAGTACAGGTCTTTGGAAGATGTCACAATGACATGGACATGTTGGAGACGAATGCGTAGCTCACTAGCCCCATAATTGTTCACTCGCGGCAAGTGCCCAAGACTGAAACTGTACAAGATGTGTAGTGTCCTTTGCGATGTTGCATTTTCTTTGTCTCAAGTTTTCAGCTCAGCCCTGCTGGGCAATGCCAGCCAGCCCGTCCGCCTCCGTCAGGTCCCTAACAAGAAGCCACTTGAAAGACACATATAGTTGTTTACAGTGTATATACTGCGACCGAAGAAGTGCCTTTGGAGGCGGACGGCAAAGAACATTTTCCTCCAGCAGGCATGGCTCATGGACAGGGTGACTTCCAAATCTCCCAGCCGTTGAAGACCTGGTCGACCAGATTCCGGAACCTCTTCAGGATTGACCCCAGAGCCCCGAGTAGCCTTGCTGGCCCTGCATCCGCACACGGTTGCCTTTGGTTTCACTCCTTTAGTTTAGTTTCTGTATATATATATATATATTGCATCTCGCAAAGAGAGCCTGTGGTGCTCGCGTTGAGATGTCGCAGGGAATTGCGCAGGTCTTGCCGATGGACCGATCAAAAGGCGGTTGGCAATGACGCTGTGTTTGACTTTGGGCTATGACTGCAGTTTGAAGCGGTTGACATTTCCATGGCTTACGTCAATGTCTAAGAAAGCATTAGTGGGTGTGCTGTTGATTAGGTGGCAAAGCTTGGTGGTTGAGATGCTTCAAAAACCAAGCAGTTCAAAACCATCGGCAAGTCGTGCTCCCCATCGCAGCCGATCATGTTGTGCATCACCTTTGGCGGGGCCTTCCTCACCTGGCGCCTGCGGCCAGGGCCACCTGCTCAACCTCTTGACCGTTAGAGTAGACCTTGTTGCTACAGAGGGGACAGGATTCCGAGGTCCCACATGGCATCCGAGCAAAGCGGCAAAAGGGGAATCCTTGGTCCCACGCCAGTGCCACTCGACACCGCTGGCACAATCAGTGTCCACCATTTTAACTGTAACGCATCCAGCGTACCAGCGCACCATGGTTCGCGGACACACGCTGCCATGTCCATGGTGCACGCTGCAGATGTCCATTTTGCACGGCTTTTCTGCATGTTCTATGGAGTTTCTAGAGGCTAGAGCTGGTTTGCGCCATAGAGTCCACGACATTGACAGGCCTTCCCAGGCTTTGTGTCCCCTGCAGCTCGGCTCGAAGCGACTACAGCAGACATGGATGTTGTCATATGGCTCACAGCTGCCGTTCTGGCGGTGCCTTTGCTGGACAGCATAACAGAGCAACACGATTTGGATATGACAGTGCCTTCTTTCCTCAAAACATAGGCTTTCGAAGATGAGATTAACAGATTATCATTTACATGGAGCAAGTTGCCTACTTTTTGGCTGTGACGTGCTTTCGCGAGGGAGAGAGAGGGAGTTGCAGCGGGAGTATTCGTGTCTACGAAGCACATAAAACATCATAAAACAAGTAAGCTTGAAGCCTTTTGCTGCTTCCGCCAGGTGTGTCTCTCCATGGCGGTGGGCACGGCAGTGTGCACCTTTCGTGACAGCCTTCGACTGCTAGAAGAGCGAAAACCATGCGGCGTGAAATGGGAACCCAATGTCGAGGATGGCCAGGTGCGAGCATTTGCTGGGGTCTTGAAAGAGATGCTCGACGATTCTTAAACGCATCCACTACTTATATGCATCAGAATGGGCAGATAAATTTACGATGTTGCCTTCAGAATGGCCAGCTGCTTCAACTGTTTGGCACAAGTCAGTTTGTGCAGCATGCGACTCGTACAGTGTTTCTGTGGAATGCTCCAACTAGGCCTTTGATCATTCCGTACCTGTGGTGCCTGCTGCGGGACCAGAGACTTGTACCATTTGCTTGGAGGAGATTGAAGAAGGTGGGGTGTCAGAAGAATCGTCAAAATATGTCATAATCACAGCATTGGTTCTGGAGTGGTAGGCTACTTTGTTTCCTTTCCTTTGCCATAATTTGGGCTGGCTTTGCTGGACAGTGACTGAACGATCGCATTCGCCAGGCCAGCCTTGCCGTGAGCTGGAGTGCAAGCATGCATTCCATGCAGACTGCTTGCATGCTTGGTGGGAGCGCTGTGCCAGATCCAAGTCGAGCTGCTCTTCCAAGATTCAACAAGTGAGTTGCCCAAGCTGCCGACAAGTACAGGTCTTTGGAAGATCAAGCAAACAGACAGAGCCGAAGCTTGAAATGGTTTGCCAACATGTTTGATGGGGAGACTCGTGGGCCTGAAGTGTTTCCTTTCAATGCCCAATGTGCTAAGAAAGGCTAAGGGTATGAACTTCTGGCTTTCGAGTGGGTCAGGCCAGACCGGACTTCTGTCATCGTGTGTTTGTGAGCATGGCAGCGAAGAAACCTTTCATGAGATCAATTCTCGAACGTACTTGGCCTGGTCCAAAGCCCAATGGTTGAACACCATTCAGATGCACGCAATCACAATTTCTGCGAAGTGCTTCGCACCCAACACAGCGTGGGCAAGCTTTTCGCTGCCAACGCTTTCCTTCCACGTGAAGATTCCAGATGTGCCACAGTGGGTTCTGGGAAGTCTCTTCACATGCCGCATGGCACGCTTCAGCAAGCATTCTAAAGGGCAGGACCACCCTCGTGCATGGAGGTTTGGAGGATTCACCCCAGAGATGGCACGGATGTCAAGATAGAATAAGGTGCCAAGATAGCTAAAGCCATTCCAAAGCAACTATATAATTCTAGTTGGTTGATCAAACAATGCAAACAGACTGAGGCCGCTGGAATTTTCCAGGCATGGCATGTGTTAAAAGTTAGCCATGAATTGCTTTCAGGGAACGTGGAGCTGCTTGAGCTCTGTCGCATAAACAACGGCATCAATCAAGATGCACCTGATGGTTGTCCTGGTGGGAAGTCAAAAGGTTACAGATGAGCGAACATGTTTTGCCCACTACTTGGTTCTTCCGCGTTTGGAGCTCGTTCTGGCTTTGATTCCTTTGTTGGACATCTCTGGGTGGTGAGCCTTGGGCCGGCTTGGAAGGACCTGGCACTTGGCACTGGTAATTACATGCGTGGCACCGCTGCGACATTTCACTGCCCGGAGTTGAACACGATTTTCGGCCGGATCAGCCTTCTGTGGGGGTTGGTCTTCGGATCAGACAGTCAAAAAAGGTGGAGATTGTTTGGACTCGCCCAACATGGCTGATCAGGGTGGGATTCTTTTGGACCCACATTCAGAGTGTGATCACATTTGTGGTAGCTGCCGCGCACCGGATGGGAATGGGATGAGCTAGAGACGACGTGGCATGACCGAGCAAAACAGCGGACTTGGTGAACCAGGCCCATGATATACACTTCCCGCCCAAGCCAACTTCAATGTTCCATAACATACCTTCAGTGTTTTGGTCTATGTTCGCCAATTTTGGTTCTGGTATGTCCTGTGTCCTTAGCTTTGTTTCCATGTCCCCACCGTGATGGCAATGGCAGCCAATTGTGTCTATGATGGATTTCAAGTTTCTCAGCTTGGCTGACCTGATGGAGCGTCCAGCACATTTTGTCGCTCGGGCGTTGCATCCGCACCATAGCCAAACAAGAGTACCTGCCTTTTTGCGGTCGTCATGCCTGGATGTTGACCATTGAGCAGCATAGAGAAAGTCAGTAGGAGTCCAAAGTGGATGCTTTGCTTGTAGGCCCTGGGCTTTGTTCACATGTCACGGGGTTTCTACGTGGAAGGTAGGAGTCGACTCAGGGCTATGGCCTTGAAAGATCCAAAACTACTTGCTAGGCAAAGTAATGCAATGTTAATTCAACAAAGACACATGTCTCCATGTGTTTTGAATGGTTTTGATTCTCCAGAAAGGGAGAGGCATTTGCACATGATTTGGCGTTGCCCTGTGACATGTTGAACATGGTTCCCGCCGATCGCGGAAGTATTTATCTAGTCCATCCCTCACGTCACACCGTGTGGACTCTGAAGACCTCCTCAGTGCGCATGAAAAGTGAAAGCGCCAGACGACCAGCACCAGGAAGATAAGAGAGACCGGCAGAGAGAGAGAGAGAGAGAAAACAAAATACAACAACAGGAAAGAAAGAAACCAGATGCAACAGGTAGGAAAGGATCAAGAAGTGGACGCATCCTTGACGGTGTTCATTTTGGTGGATATGCTGTCATCATGCCGTGCTTCGGAAGTGAATGGAGCTGCGTCAGCAGCAAAGGGGGCATGTCTCGAAGCCATCTCATAGTCATTTCGCAGGTGCTCAGGAGGTTTGATTTCAATCGACGCGCCAACCAAGGCGTTGCAAGCACCGGTGATGCATTTGGCAGCGCAGTATTTGATCTCTCATGTGCCTTGGGCCTTGGGAAAATGAGCCCTTGAAATCCAAGCAATATTGCATGCCTAACGCCGTGAAAACTGAACACCTATAAAGTATAAGGTCTATGATGCAATATCCTCTATGAAATCAGTGGGGTCATCCCCCGGCGTATTTAGAATTTATGACATGTGTTTTGTGCTCAGTTCAGAGTCACCGTAGAACTGGAAGATGTGAAAAGCCATGTGCTTTAGTTTTTGGGGCCGGGTGCTTCGGATTGCTTCGGATGTGTTGTTGTTCAAGCTTTGAACGCACCTATGCACTTGTCCATGCGATTGTGCCTCACCGACGTTGCTCAGGAGTGGTCCTGCTACATCACAGGCGCTGTAACATCACGCACGACGCCGGAGTTTCCGCGAACAGACATTGTTTGGCAAAAACAGCCTGAAAGTTGGCCACGCTGCTCATAATCCTTGAACGTCCTTGAATCCTGTTTGATCGAAAGGCTTTGGATCGGTCCAGTTGAAAACCTGTGAGGAGAACGCTATTCTTGGCTTTGCAGTTTGTGTCAGGAGAACGCACGTTCGTTTATGTAAGGTTTGGAATTAGCACCTTTATCAGCCTTTATCCTCAAGGAAGCTTCAGCAACCCACATGATATGCTCTACAACATGCAATTCATTTGATGCTTTCAATTTCAACCTGCCGTATATGGTGCCAGAAAGTGTGGATGCCTTTCAGCACCCAGACCACACACGAGAGAAGCATGGAGCTCAGGGGTGAATTGATTCATGCCTGACGTGACGACGTGGGTGAAAACATTAGCCTAGACAAAAATAACGTGACACGATGACCAACGTTGGGGGTTCCCAGTCGAAGATTTAGACGAGTGATGCTGCATCGTCTTTTCCTCAGACACACACGACCCGTGAGACGGAGATGCGCCAAAGGACCTTCGGGCGAAGCATGGATTGCGTGCTATACCAACATTGGAGCGCCTTGCGGTTTTGCGTGAGGCACCCGAGTGAGTCTTCCCGAGTTCGGCGTGCGTATGGGTGCGTTGCGGTGGGGAGAGTCTCCATCTACTGCTGCCAGGCTCGGATTGCGAGAGTAGTGATATGTAGTGATGTTCATAGGAAGCTGACGGGGGAGCTTCAGATGGCTTCGGTGATCAAACAAACCGCGTGTTTCACGCGGTGCAAGGACGCTACTAGGGGCTCCTGGCCTTACTACTAGGAACAATGTTTGCTAGTTGAAACCAGAATCAAAAGTAACTAGAATTAAGTTTGTTGGTATATGGGGCGAAGACCTGTGGGTCCCGCTGAATGGGTCAATTGGAAGGGCCCTATTTCCTGTGAGGCAGTACTTCCTTCTGGAGGATGGACGTGGCTGGCTACCAGATGAGGAGTCCCGACGGTCGGGAAGCTTGGTTTCGCCCAGCGCCCTTCATGCCGCATCCCTTCCATTGGTACAGCTCTCATGTTGCACTGTGCCAGCTTCCGGTCGGCTGTTATGATTATTGGAAGGCGAAGAAGCGCGCAAACACACAACTGACATGTTTGTCCTTCACGTTGGTGAGCACCGCGCACTGCAATCCAACACCTTGTTTGGAATGCTTGCCAGGCCACCTGAGAGAACCTCGTCGATCAACGAAGTGTTTTTGGTGCAGTACCGTCATGTCTTTGGCACAGACCCAGACCCAATGTTTCCAAAACGGCCTACCTGTCCGAAGGGGAGCCTCACAGACATGTCAATGGCCTTCGCACAACCTGGCCAGAGAGGCCATTTCAGCATTGGGGAGGCCTTGTGTCCGGGTTGCTCAGCATCAGAGGAAGGACCTACGCTGAATGAATGATTAATGGCGGCTGAGCCAGAAATCCCTCATGCTCCTTTGTGGCTATGTGCTTTCACCAGTGCTCTACAATTGCATGATTGTGGCCAATGTAAAGCCACTTTGGGCGAAGTTGACATGTCAACTCATGAGTTCCTGTGCAAGGAGCAGGCAGCTCTCACCCTTGTGGAATGCTTTGGCATGTTTTGGCTTTCGAAAGCTTTTGGATATCTACTGTGCACGGGGTGATAACATATGTCAACCATGACAAGGCCACCGGATGATCACATCATTTGCAAGCACATTTTGGAAAGGACATGATTTTTTGGTCGATCGATGCACGGGTCGAATGCACAGAGCAACAACTTGAGGCCACCCGAGGTGCCCCTGCAGACCTGCAGCGCTTGGAAGGCTCAGCTGGATTGCCTGCGCCGGGGCTCCTAGAGCATGTGATTCATCGTTAGCTGAGCCACATGTTGCCACTGTATCCCAATGATCTCAGAGCACTCGTTACATGTTGTATCATGTTGTTACTCCATCCAACAAAACCATTATAAATTACGTATCTAGACACGTGAGCAATTGCCAAAGTTCATATCTGCAAAAGCGCTCACTTTGTTCATTGTGTTTTCATACCAAACGGTTTTTGCAGACGCTATTGTGGCACCTCCATACTACTCGTACATCACACGAGCGATCTTCACTGAATTGTTTTACCTGCTGCAAGAACGCTTTTCTCATTCATTGTCAAGGATAGTACAAAATCTGCCCCCCGGACTGACGTTGCCACTCTGCTTTGAATTGTGAATGCCGTCTCCGCCTGGCTAAGGACAGGAGATGATTCTTGGACGTCTTGGGGAAGGGCAAAACCAGTTCCTTACCCGGCTTGCAGAATTTCTGGAGAGCTTTGAAAATCATCATGCCGACACGATTGCCTTAGAACATGCCCCTTTGCTGAACTCCTGAGATGCCCTGGCATGTTCAGTATCACTGATGATTTAAAGATACTTATTTATAGAGGACTCAACGACTCACAGACTCTTCGTTGATTGACATGGTCCGCTTTCACCCTTCAATGAAGGGGGGTGTGGTGTTTTGGTCTCCTG